TACATAAGGGCGAAGACCTAAAGGCGCAAAGCGGCCGCGAGCGAAGCGAGAAAGTGCCGCAGGCCAAGCAACCTGGCCTAGCTAGGTCCAGCGCAGCCGGTGTGTATATATGTGTGTGTGTGTGTATCTATTTATCTAGCTATAACACAAACACTACACACACACAAACACATACAGATACACACACATACACACACACACACACACACACACACACACACACACACACACACACACACACACACACACACACACACACACACACACACACACACACACATATATATATATATATATATATATATATATATATATATATATATATATATATATACCTATCTATCTATCTATCTATCTATATACATATTATGTGTGTGTGTGTGTGTGCATTAAAGAACATAAAGGCTTCTCATTCAGATATACTAATTCCAAGCTAACTAGACTAACTAAATCCTTTGTCAGAAGTATATTTTTAACAAAAAATCCCTTTTCTAAAAATGATTTTGACGTTTTGGACTCATCGCAGTTTGATATTGTAGATTTGGAAAGAAAAGCATATCCATAATGAATATCTGCCTTCCACAGACACTGAACGTCTTACAAGAACAGCAACTAATTTTTACTTGTTTCTTAAATTCAAAATATTCCCTTCTATTTCCCTTATATTTCATGATGGATTTGGCTTGTCAGACAACCGCTCCCCTTCGCTGCGTCGCCTGCCTCGCTTGGCGCCTCTCCTTGCCGGCCAGCCCTTTGGCAGTGGATTTGGGAGGACTTTCTCGTTAGTAACACTGCAGATGCATCATTACTTATTCTCTTAACTGTTGAACATACAAATTGTAAAAGGTAACTCAGGAAAGTGTTTGATTATGATTTTATAACGGATACTAGCCGCCGGCTTTCCTGCTCACCATGCAACTTTGTTCTAATGTTCTGGAATCAAGCATCTTTTTAAGTTTTGGCAAACATTTCACTTTTATGCTGTATTTTTGTAGTTGTTTTACTTAAACTATTGTGTATATATATATATATATATATTATATATATATATATATATATATATATATATATATATATATATATATATATATACATATATATATATATATGTATGATGTATACATACATACATATATTATATATATATATATATATATATATATATATATATATATATATATATATATATATATATATATGTATATATATATATATATATATATATATATATATATATATATATATGTATGTATATACATATATATATATATATATATATATATATATATATATATATATATATATATATATATATACTATCTGATAATTCCTATCAACGGTTTATACATTATTTATGATATAATGAGTGATATCTTATGTTTTGATAAGTTTAGCATTTGTTAATAATCTAAATAATTCACAGTTCTTATTGAAATCTGTAGTTTTGAAGTTTTCTGGTGTGTATTGCACTGAAGGAAAAATTATCCAAATTTTAGTTGTCATCGAAAATGGGTGGAAGCACGCCCAGTACATCTGGATTTTGTTACTTTTTGAACTGAGCCAAAAAGTGGATATTATTACCATTAAATTTGTACCAAGAAGTACAAAGTTGAGTCCAACCCGAGTAACTTTACTTTGGAACTCGTCCGCCTGCTACGGTCGTAACTTCTAACAGGCGGCAAGTGGCCAGCATGCGTATTCTCGGTGAATGCGGCTGACGTTTTAAAGTTGAAGGATCACAAAGATAAGGACATCCTGTCTGTTATTACAAAACTGTAATCTACACTGTCGTTTTCTTTTGTGAGGCTTTCGTTATTTTCATCAACGTCATTACATTTTACATGATCAGATCCAAGCATTCCTTTCAAGTATGTTTTCAATAAGTCCACGGATACATAAAATAAAAACAACAAAAGAAACATGCACCGCACACGTAAATGTAGCTTAGCGAACTTCATTCCTTTTCCCGTAGAAATTACCGACGGCCGTTGTTTCGCCAAGTCCCTTTTCTCGTCAGTTCTCGCCCTGGCGGCCGTCGAGCGGTGTCTGTCTCTTACCGCCGTCGGACCGCGTGTGTTGGGGAAAGCGTACATTGTACTTTGTTCATTAGTTTTTTTTTTTCCTATAATAGCAAGAACTTGTACGCTTCCAACAACGCGGCCGGACGGCGGTAGAGACAGACACCGCTCGGACGGCGCCAGGGCGTGAACTGACGAGAAAAGGGGACTTGGCGAAAGAACGGCCGTCGGTATTTCTACGGGAAAAAGGATGAAGTTCGCTAGCTACATTTACGTGTGCGGTTGCATGTTTCTTTTGTTGTTTTTATTTCTTTGTATCCGTGGACATTATTGAATACTTGTAGGAATGTGGATCTGATCATGTAAAATGTAATGACGTTTGATGAAAATAACGAAAGCCTCACAAAAGAAAACGACAGTGTAGATTACAGTTTTGTAATAACAGACAGGATGTCCTTATCTTTGTGATCCTTCAACTTTAAAACGTCAGCCGCATTCACCGAGAATACGCATGCTGGCCACTTGCCGCCTGTTAGAAGTTACGACAGGGCGGACGAGTTCCAAAGTAAAGTTACTCGGGTTGGACTCAACTTTGTACTTCTTGGTAAAAATTTAATGGTAATAATATCCACTTTTTGGCTCAGTTCAAAAAGTAACAAAATCAGATGTACTGGGCGTGCTATCCACCATTTCGATGACAACTAAAATTTGGATAATTTTTCCTTGTGCAATACACACCAGAAAACTTCAAACTACAGATTTCAATAATATTGTGAATTATTTAGATTATTAACAAATGCTAAACTTATCCAAAAACATTAAGATATCACTCATTATATCATAAATAATGTATAAACCGTTGATAGGAATTATCAGATATATATATATATATATATATATATATATATATATATATATATATATATATATAATATCATATATACTATATATATATAGTATACTATATATATATATATATATACTATAATATATTATATATATATATATATATATATATATATATATTATATATGTATGTAT